CTCCCCACAAGTTACCTTTTGATATATTTATATTCCATAAACTCTGTCCACCTCTGTTAGATCACATATCATACAGAACACAGTTACAGAGTGCATGCAATTTCTGTCATTCAGCCCCTTTATGCTTTAACATATATCTGGGTGTGCATGTCAGGGCTTTGTTATATATTTCTCTGCCTATATGTCAGCTCCTTTAATTTAATAATATGTGCATATCTTGGCCCAATGATAATGGTCTAAAAAGGGTCAGGTTTCAGGTGTGTGCGCATGTATCTATACACATGTATCTGGCAAGCTGTGTAAAGTGTTTTGAGTTCTCGGATAAATAACAAAAGTACTATATAAGAATCAGTCCATTTGCTATGTTGTGTGGCTCAGCATCCAATGTCTTCAGTCTTTTAAAACCTTTTGAAAGTGTGATGTATTACCTAAGCCTATGTTTATAGCTGTGTGTGTGTGTGTGTTTAGTATTTCTTTTAAGACTTAGAACGACAATAACATATAACATAAATGATGAAAAATACATAATGGTGACGTGGCATCATTAGTGCTAACCTCTTAGGATTCCAGGTAGCATAACTGCTGAAACACCGAAATTAGTTCTGCATCATTCCATAAAATGCCATGTATACATTTTAAAATAGTTTTAGAATTATCTTCATTCAAGATTTACTTTGTAAATTATATTACTAACATATAAAATTAGAGGGAGTGCACTCGATTAACCATTATCTTAATATTCTTCTTGTTATTATAATAAAAATAATATTTTAACAATAATAATTCCATGTAAATGTGCCAGAGAGTGGACATATGTTAGGGCAAAGTTCAGTTTTATATAAGCTTTATATAACATCACACCATACTGGTAAGAACTAATGAAATATCTGTTTTTTACCCACTATCATAAGCATAAATAACAAAAACTAAGAATAAATGTCTCATATCCTCCTGGCCAGCTACCTGCTTACCATGCTCCAACTGAGAGTGGAGTCTAGAGTGTAATTTTGTGAGCTCCCCTCCCCTTTCCCCCAAAATTAAAGTACAGAGCCAGAGCACTCCCTGGTGGTGCCAAAACTGAACTTCAAATACTACAATTTGGCCAACTTTTGTCTTTTTTCCTGACTATCGACTTTACCTGGTTTTGGAGCTGTGTTTTCTGATGATCCACGTGTTGCTTGCAGATGATTAAAAATTAACCAACACAGCAAAAAGAAGAGCCCATTTAATTTTAGCAAGAGTCACTTTGTTTGAAAAGATAAGAAACATAATTTCAGTTTCAATTGAGTGCAAAAGCTAAAACAAGTGTTTCATGTTGCTATTTTAGTACACAAGAAGGCTTCACTTGTAATCTTATTTGTCTGCTAACTGAATAGCTTTTAGACAGTTACATATACAGTACAGTGAAAAAGCATTTGTGGCATATTTTAGGACATTTTGCACACACTTACATGACATCAAACACATTTTTATGTTAGATGAAGGTAACCTCGGTAAATAAAACACATTTTTAAAATGATGATTTCATTTATCAAAAGAATAGAACTTTGCAAACCTCCATGGCTGCTGTGTAGGATGGGATGGTTTTTTTTGGATTTTGTACTCTTCTACTCTACTTAAGCAGTCAAAGCACTTTATACAACATCCCTCATTCACACAAGCACTTTTTTCTATGCTTTTTCTATCTAACATTCACACTCTGATGAACAAATAGGGCAGCTACTTGGGGTTCAGCAAGGATATGTTGGCATACAGACTACAGCAGCCAGTGATCAAACCACCAACCTTCCAACTAGTAGATGATCTGCTCTACTGAGCTATTGTTAGCAGGCAATTGCCCCTAAACCCAATAAGAGCCTTTATGTTCTTTTTTTGGTCAGCATAGGTTTTTGCCACAGAAGTCAGAGATGGATCACATTTTTGCTCAGTCTCTTCCTCTCTTTTGATCTCCCGGATTAGTTGTGTTTCTACTCTGGAGTAATTTTGGTACACCTGCCAATGCTGGAAAGGGGGGCAGATAGATTTGGATAGCTTTTTTACCCATAATAAATTGCATTTTATATTTACTTAAGTTATATTTGTGTAACAAGAAAATTTGTTTGATGACCTGAAACTGTGACAAATATGTAAAAACCAAAGAAATCTGGAAGGGGCAAAATGCTTTTTCATGACATTGTACGTGTACCAGTTTGAATGCATTCAGGACAATTCTGAATAGAGCAACCATATTTGTGCAGTTATTGCTACGAGGTGTGGAACAAGAAGAGAAAAGGGACCTGTGTGAAGTCAGTGTTAAGTGAAACAAAAGAGGTGCCTGTAAGTCAATAATTCAATAATTATCTGACCTGAAAGAACTGGTAATAGTGATAGAGTTTAAAAAACAGTTTTTGCCCATACTGTTACAATATAGAGAAATCTAACCAATAAGAATAATTACTGGAACACCAGCTATTTATGTATACAGAATGGTAGATATACAATATATTGTCAAGCAGTAAAAAGCACACTATTTTAACATTATTTTATGCATTTCAAGCAAAGGGACCATCTGGAAGAAACCCATGCAAGGGCATGTACTCCATTTAAAAAGGCCCCTGCTGTGATTGGAACCAAGAGCCTTCTTCCTGTGAGACAGGAGTGCTAACTACTGAACCACTGTGCCACAGTTTGTATATGCCCAGGATATTTTCTAGTTTGCACTTTGTTAGATCCCAGATACCCCTGTACAGGTGGTCTGGACTGGCTCTCCATCCTTCGGGTCAGAGTCCCTTATTTAATTTGATTTAATTCTCCTGTTTGGCTGCCACGTTCCTGTGTGGACTTCACATCTTCTCCCTGTATCTGCATGGATTTCCTCCCATGTTTAATAACTGCATGATAAATTAATTAATGACTTAATAATGTCAGAGTGTATCCAGGGTGTACCCTGTCTTCTTTCTATGACAGCTAGATTAGACTCCAGCCTAAGGACACAACATCAATACTTTAAAAGATACAACCCACGAGACAGGCTTTTGTACCCCTAAAGGCACAATAAGGTACTTAAAAGATAAAATAGGTATCTTTTTACCAACCATTAGGTCTGTGATAGAAGCGCTTGGAGGATCCCCAGTTATCGATAATTCAATTATTTCATTTCCCTCAGTTTAGAAACAACAGAATATTTAATGTGTGAACATCTTTCATGAAATTTTCCTTGAAATCAAAGATGTTGTTGTTGCTGTGAACACAGGCAAGAAACGTCTGGTCATTTTTTTTCTATTAGGAACTCTTAAGAAATATCCACAATCATCAGCAATGTTAAAATAGTACTAAATGCTATCAAGTGTAAAGGGCAGGTTTTCCTTCTACAAAATAAATAAATGAATAGCTCCTTTGTGTTTGATGTTATAAAAGACCATACTCTAGAGCAGGTCATCAACTAATTCGGTTGGTCAAGTATCCTTGGGCAAGATACTGAAACCCAAGTTGCTCTCCGATGTGTTCACCGATGTGTGAATATAAGATAGAAACCACTGCGGTGTCGAAAAAGGTGCTAGTGTAAATGGCTGAATGAGGCACTTTTGACTTTTTACAGTTTTGATTTATCAAAGGTCCTGTTTGACTTTTGCTTAATTAAAAAAGAACACAAAGGTGAGATTTGTATGCTTGAACTTTTACATTTATTAACTTTATT